GGGGAAGGGGGTGAGAATCCTCTTCTTATGCCGAGAACCTCGCCAAAAGCCTATCCAGGAGAAAGACAGGAAAATCAACTCCTGCGAAGAACAAATAAGATCCTGCCATAATAAAACATCCAAAAAAATTTCGGCGATTTTTCTCCTCCCTCCCCCCCTTCTCCGTTCGTCAGCCCTAGCGACAGCCATCGGGAGGGGAGAGGGGGGAGGGAGGGAAAAAGAAGTGGGGATCCTGGAAGGGGGAGGGAAGGAGGAGGGAGCAAGGGAAGGGGGGAGGGGAGGGCGACGAGGGGTGTCAAAGAGTACTTTCTTCTAGCATTACTGCCTGTGCCGCAGGGGTGAGGGAGAAGAGCCCATAGCCCGCTCCCTCCCACTCCCTCACCCCTCCTCTTCGTCTCTCTGGATCCACCCATGGCCTAGGGGAAGTGGCAGTGTTTGGGATAGGTTGACGACACCGTCGAGGACATCTAAGCTGGTTTTATAGGAAAAATCTCTGAGCTATTCGTTTCGTCCAGGAGCGAAAGAGGCCACAGATTCACCAGTAGAATTCATTATCCCAAGCAATAAGGTATTTTCAGATTCAATTTGATGCAAATTGGACAAATTTTGCAAACGTTGGCGATTGCTCCTTTCGAGCCACCTTCCGCACATATCGCTCACTTCTACTCGCAGTTTGATCAGGTACATGTGATACATATGTACTGTTGCATCATGATTCCCTCCTAGATAGGACAATGGCGCGAAGCTGCCTATATAAGGCCGTTGCTTCTGTGTTAAAATGAGTGTTGTGCTGGCGGCCCCAACGATCAAAAAATGAACACGGATCCTCCTAGCCTGAATCATCACCAAGGAATCGACGACCCAGTCAACGATCCGAGCAGACGCCGGAGCACCGAGCCAGCAAACTAGTGCCCGGTGCTCCGGCATCTGCTCGGATCAATTGTGGTAACGGTAAGAAATGTATACGACTTAACTGGACCGAAACATTTCTTACCTACTTTAATAATTCCTTTCATGTTTTTCATCATTTCTCCTCACATTTTTCCTTTAGCCCTAAATAGTGACCATTAGTTCATACAACTCCACTCATGGATGTATCTCCACAACAGCAGGAGTTCTACGATCTCATAATGGAAGCATTCCTGTTGATCTTAAATCATTGTAAATTTGCTGAAGCAGGGAAACAGAACTGGGAGGATGGATCTTTTTAATATTTGGCCAGAGGCTTAAGTACTTTTTTTTAAATAAAAAAGAATAATCACATGTAAGTTTTGTGCAGTGGCCTGCAGGCTGAACATTCTTTAGCGAGGAATTTGCCTTGCGTTCCTGAAAAAGCGGTCATTTTTTGTCAAAATTTTAAAATTTATTTAATTTTGCCGGAAATAACTAGGCTAACGTGGGAATTCTGTTCGAGGGGCTTATGTTAATTATTGATGTTGATATGCGCCAATAAGTCGGTTTCAGTCTTCTTATGCGTTTTTTGCAGCTGCGCAATGCGGAAAACGCATATTGACGAGAGGTTGTCTGTGTATATGTCTCTGGGTCCTCCAGTGTCTTTTTCCACTAAGTTGCTAACTCAGGAGCCAGGAAGGCTAGAAAGCTGAAATTTTAAGGGGATGTTTCCTGCCAGTTCTGGCGGCCAGTCTTAATTTGTCTAGCCAGAAGCATTTGCCGAGAAAACCGGTGGCGGCAGCGACAAAAACTGCGGGGAACCATGCAAAAAACGCATCTTCACGCGGGCATCCTGTGCGTTGGCCAATTATTAGATTCTAAATTGCGTACCTCCAGTTACTCGCTACTTCAGGTTCGATATGTGTGTGTGCTCTTAATTTGCACAGGATTTCACCATAATGTTTTTTTTTTTTTACTGTATTTGTTAATTTGTGATCTAATTTATAAATTACTGGAAAAATTGGAAATCCCACGCTACCCCTCCCCCCTTCCCGTTTTGTCCCCGTTATACCCCCTGTCTTCCCCGCACCTTCCCAAACCCCGTCTCCGTTGTTCTCCGTGGAATGCTTCAATCAGATTAGCATGTTTTTTCCCATAAAATCGCTTCTAGCTGTTGCAGAAGTCAATGCCTCGTGTTGTACAGTGTGTTCTTACGTCGCACGGTGATTCGGTGGACAGTCTGTTTGCGGTGAGCACCGAATCACCACCACAAGTTGTTGAGCAATTCGTCCGTCACCTATTTGTTGGTACTGTTGCAGAACTGGATTGCTTGGTAAGTGTTTCAGAAATTTTAAAGATGCAAACAATGAATATCTCTGGTTAGAAGACTGAAAGAGGACGGGGGCTGAAGTCTTCTATGTGTTAACATACGCAGTTTGTTTGGCGTTGTTGGCGCACCATGGAGAGGAACACAATCGAATTTTGACAGTTTTGAAAAAACTGAAAGTGCCATTTAGATAAGTGCAGTTTTCACAAATCCAATGCATTTTGATAAGTTCAGTGCAGTTTTTCATAAATCCTGTAAGTAAGGTATTTTATGAGAAAGTAAGGTATTGTGTGTGAGAAAGTAAGGTATTTTTCGAGCTTATTTCATTTTCGTTTTACACAGCACAATAATATTTCGTAATACGGCGGCTCTAACAGAAGAAGAAAACGCAATGAGGAGAAAAGTAATGTAGAAAAGTCTTTCAAAACGAAAACAGTATAGTTGAGGACTAGTGTAACTTGCGAGAACAGCAAAAAGTTCAATTGTTATACGAATAACAGACGAATAACTGAAGTTGTATTTACTAAAATTTACTTAAATTTTTGCTAAAATTACTGGAAAGAAATTAAAATCACTAAAATTACCGGAAAAATTACTAAAAAAGTTTATTAAAATAGTTGAAAAAATTTACTAAAATTGAAAAAAGTACAAAGAAGAAACAAGTAAAATTAAAAAGTAGTCTCTGTCTTAAGTTCCTCATAATATTGGAGGACTGTGCTTTGCAGTACTTTTGTACAAAAATAGCAGAAATAACTAGAAATACGATAATGCCCCAGTTAGCTGCTATCATAATTTTTTGCCGGTAAATTTCGACGTCCTAGGACGTTACTAATGATTTTTGGAAGGCACAGAGCGGGGAATTACAGCCTGTGCGGAAGGGCCAGTTGCGGTCTTTATCGGTGGATACTTTGATGATCGCGATGCGATACTATAGTGCGGAATGCCTGCCAAGCTTGCCTTGTTCGCTTGGTTTTTGCAAGATCGGTGGCTTGCTCAAAAAGTTATGAAAGAAGAACTTAGGGATTTTAACAACGGAAGAAACAAGGAGTAAATAATCATATAAAAAAATAATGTGGTATAATCATAGGCAGAATAATTCGAGCATAGGCGGATCCAGGGGCGAAGAGTCTTTCGTCCTATCCCTCCCTAGTGACACAGACACCTGTGCTTCAGAAGCCCAGGTCTAAAGCTAAAACGAAAGTAAATTAAAGCCTAAAGTAACTCTAAACTAAAGTAACTCTGAGTAGCAGTGTTACAACTCTATTACTAGTTTTTGCATAGTGCCAGGGTAAGAGGGGGTTCTCTTTCCCACTCCGCGTCGCCCTCCCGAGGAGTCTCATTCTCACCACTGCCCTCGTCCCCTCCCTCCTCCAAGAGCCCATCCTAGATCCGCCTATGAATTTGAGTGGGGATGTAGATCCGAAACTATTAAGAAAGGCAAAGAAGCTGTCACCAAAAATTCGACTGGCACTGTTTTTTTTTTTTGCAAGAGGAGCATCCAGCATCCGAGAAGTAGTTTGTCGATGCATCTTTAAAAGCGCCAGGTGGGATGTTGTTATCATTAATATCATTAATTATCATCGGTATCATCATCATTATTATTATTATTATTATTATTATTATTATTATTATTATTATTATTAT